CCGCTGTCGCAGTGCAGCATGAACAACAGCTTCACGCCGGCGCCCATGATCATGGAAATACCCGAGTTGGGAAGCACTGGGAACATCAGTATCTACGAGAGGATCCCAGGGGATTTTGGGGCCGGGAGCTATTCGCAGCCGTCGGCCACGTTCAGCTTGGCCAAGCTGCAGCAGCTGACCAACACCATTATGGACCCTCATGCCATGCCTTATAGCCATTCTCCTGCCGTGACTTCCTATGCAACCAGTGTTTCCCTGTCCAACACGGGCTTGGCCCAGCTGGCCCCCTCGCACCCGCTGGCCGGCACCCCGCAAGCACAAGCCACCATGACACCGCCGCCCAACCTGGCGTCCACCACCATGAACCTCACGTCGCCGCTGCTGCAGTGCAACATGTCGGCCACCAACATCGGCATCCCGCACACGCAGCGCCTGCAGGGCCAGATGCCCGTCAAGGGCCACATCTCCATCCGCTCCAAGTCGGCGCCGCTGCCCGCGGCCAACCTCATGCCCACGGCGCCCTACAACGTCAACTCCATGAACATGAACACGCTCAACGCCATGAACAGCTACCGCATGACGCAGCCCATGATGAACAGCAGCTACCACAGCAACCCGGCCTACATGAACCAGACGGCGCAGTATCCTATGCAGATGCAGATGGGGATGATGGGGAGCCAGGCCTACACGCAGCAGCCTATGCAGCCAAACCCCCACGGCAACATGATGTACACGGGGCCCTCCCACCACAGCTACATGAACGCGGCCGGCGTGCCCAAGCAGTCCCTCAACGGCCCCTACATGCGGAGATGAGCGAGGCGCCAACCCGCCACCTAAACACAAAAAAAAAGACTTAAATATATATAAATAAAGGAACCTTTTATACTGACGAACCAGAGGAAAAAAAAAACACAAAAAAAAACGGACCTTTTTCCAGTTAAAATATTGCTGTAGATTTAGAGGGATTTTCTTTTTTTCTTTTCTTTTTTTTTTTTAAGGAAGCCTGGTCTTTTTTTTTGTTTGTTTTGTTTTGTTCTGGGTTTTTGTTCTCTTCACAATCCTGAAGCATTTTACAGCTAAAATCATTTACAACTGTTTTTTAGGGGGGAAAACATGCACAAAGTCTTTTCATAATTTAAAAGAGCCTTACTTTGACCACTTGGACATACTATGTGCAGCAGCAAAAGCATCTTTCTAATTTTTTTTTTTTCTTTTCCAATGGATGTTCTTCTCCCTCTCCCGTGTCCCTCCGTAAGCAGCCCCGAGCGCTGCGGTCACGTCAAGTGTCTGAAATCCCGAAGGGCAGCAGCTCTTCCCTCAAAACCCCACCTTCATTTTCTACTTCTAGCAGGAGGCACTTATTGGGAGACTCAGAAGGGGACACGGAGGATAAAGGAAGCTCTTTATTTCTACAAGTCAGGAAAAAGATAGCTTTTTTTCTTTCATTATTCGCTTTCCCCGACTCCCTCGCCCTCAGTGAAATTTGGAGTTACGTGTAAACAATAAATTCTATTCACACTGGTGTTTCTGTAGATGAAATTAATTGAAATAGCCTGTATGTTTCATTCTGAAAATATGATGTGACTTTTAAACGATCCCCTTCACCGATCCCCTTCACAGGGCCGCGCGTCCCCTCACCGATCCGGTGGGAGCGTCTCCGGAGAGAGCCGTGGATAGGGCCGGTGCAGCGAGGAGGAGCAGGGGCTTCCTGCCTTTAGGGTAAGAAAGGGGCTGCGGGCTCTCGTTCTGGCGAACGGCTCTAACGCCGAAATCCCCAATTTGCTTTTCCTTGGAAAAGCCGAGGGTTTGGGGTGCCTTGGAGTCGGGCTGAGCCCAAGGGCGGCCCTTCCCGCTTGGAAATCCCCCTGGATTTCGTTACGTGCCCCTTCTTGCAGGGTCAGCTCTGTTTTCAGCGACTCGGGGAGGAGGTTGCGGTGTCCTCATCGCTCTTCCATTCCCGGTGTCCTCCAGGAAGCTGCCGCTTCCTGGGATGCTCCTGCTTCAGCTCCGCAGGGCCGGGAAGGGAATCGGCGCCCCGAGCACCGAGCCGCGTTTTCCTGGGTTTTACTGCATAATCCCAAAATCCCATTCACTTTTTTTTGGCTACGCCGCTCTATGGAAGAGAGGGCACGTCACCCCCTGCAAAAAGGGACAGCATCATCCACCCCGTAATGTAAAGTTCTCTGTTTTCCCTTGTTGTTGTAGGTGAAGTAGAAATGCAGACCCATTAATAAGACTAATCCCTTTTTGTTTTTAAACCAAACGAATCCAAATGAAAGCTGGGGTTTCTTCAGATGCACTAAAACAGACTTTCCTCCAATAACTGCTAACCATAAAAAAGCAGAATACAAAGGACTTCCACTTTTTTTTTTTTTTTTTCAATTTTCTTCGTGTCCTTTCCGAGCATGTACAAGGCTGTGTAGGACCCCCCTCTCCCTCTGTATATACGATCCCAGTTCCAAGTCGCCCCCGTAGCGAGCGCGCCGCGCTGCCCTCTCCTTTCTAGATCTTCAGCTGTGTCGCTGCTTCCCGGTTGCTGGAAGGGGGAACAGGTTGGGATCGGGGTCCGAGACGGGAGGAGAAGCCGCTGAAACTAGGGCCGTGACTTTAGGTTGTTTGCCGTTTGGTTTGGTTTTGTATTATTATTATTATTTTTTTTAATCAATTGGGCAGCTCCCTTTTCCACAAGCCTTTGTGACTGTAGAACTATTGTAGAAAAAAAAAGTTCTTTTCTATATATAAAAAGAAATTATCCAACGCAGTAATATTGGTACCTACCATTTTTTCACTTCTGTTTAAAAAAAAAAAAATGTATTTTTAGCAAGATAACTTGGGTAATCTTCTAAAAGAAATTAAAAAAAAATCTCACTGTTAGTGACTTTGATGCCTTTTAAAATAAGAGCTTTTTTCATTTCATTCCATCTTTAAAATTTTTTATCTTTGTTGTAGAATATTAAAAACTATTTTAAGAAAGATTAAAAATTCTCTTTAAAGAGAGATCTCTAGAGTGTGTGAATAGGAGCTCCAGATGCCTCTAAAAGCCGCATGTACAAATGAAGCTGAGTCTATTCCTGTCTGTTTATATTTGCTTTTCCTGTTTTGTAACCTCTTTGTACTTTGTTCATGGTGACTTGTAAGCTAAGGGGAAGGGGGTGCCTAGATGCCTTTGTAATTCTCCATGTCATGCGCTCCTGGCCGCGTGGTCTCCCTTCCTCTCCTTGTATGTAATATCACTTTTTTTTCCCCTTTCTAGCAAGTACTTTCAAAAGAACTCTGTACATTTTAACATAAAAAAAATAAATTATGTTGAGCCATTTTGGAGGCCTGTTGTGCATGAGGGTTTTTGTTTTGTTCCTCGCTTGGGCACCGAGCTCTTCCACCCCTGTCCGGGCTTGGGAATTCGCCGCCTTTTTGCTCCGGAAGAGGAGCGGGATGCGGGTGCGCGGTCCTGGGGGTCACCTGGCTCCTCACAACACACAGATTTAAAATTATAACAGCAAAAAGCACCGAAGGCTTCTCCAGAAACCGCTAAGTTCTGCTCTGCAGGATCAGCCAAAAACTGAAGGTAGCCCCGTTAGCTGTTTTTATCACCATTTGTTTGTAACATCATCTTGAGAGTTTTGACTTGTGTGCTAAAAAAATCCTCTCAAAAAGTATATTTTAAGCTTCCCCCCCTTTTCAGGTTGCTTTTTGATCTCGAAAATTAGCTCTTTGAGTAGGAGAACGGGAGTTTTTGCACGGCAAAGTTACCTGCAGCTTTAAGGCAGAATTGGATCAGGCGTGAGCTTTAAATAAATAATATTGTCCTGTTCTGCTGCTTCTTCTGCGACCTCTTAGGGTTTGCTTCCAGGCTTTTTTTTTTTTCTTCTCCTTCTAAAAAAATTACAATTTCAAAACATTCATTGGAAGAAGTGTTCCAGTTGTGGTGGGTTTATCAGCAAAGTTTCATTTTTAGGGTACAAGATGGGATTCGGAAATAAAATACCACTTGAAAGAGAGTGGAAATGGCCTTGATTTCTAGAATGGAGATGGGGAATGATTAAATACTGTAGGATTCTGGTAATTCTGTTGCTTTGGATAGCTGAAAATGGTCACAGCAAATCACTTCTGTGTGATGATAGCATTCTGGCAAAATGCTTGTTTTATAGACTATTTTTGAGGGGGAGAAAGAAGAATTCCTCTACATGGAACAGCACCTAATGACCTTGCTCGTCCGGGTGATGCTTTTCCTAATGGTCCCCTGTCACTTGCCATTTGTCCCCCCCTTACCAATTAGATTCCATTGCAGAATCTTTTGGGCAGAGTTATTTTTGTGTCCGAAAAGGTCATGATAAATTTGTTTTGAAGGAAAAAGTGGTAAATAGGATGTTTGCCTCTCTCTGTTTCTCTATAAAGCTTTTACGTTTGCCCATGAAGAACAAGCAGCAAGAAATGATCCATAAAGCGATTTTTTCCCTTTTTTTTCCAGTTCTAAATGTTTCCTGAGCAACCACTTCAAACAAGGCAGCCGTCACTGCTGGAGAACGAAAAAATGGTGAGTTAGGGGTAAGATTTTTTTAAGAGTTTTAGCAGGTAGTGATGGTTGGACTTGCTGATCTTGAAGGTTGTTCCTACCCGAAATGATTCTATGTTTCTGAGTGGGATTAGCAGCCCCTTTCCCACCCGTCCTTCCCTATATCCTTGCTCCCTTCTGGAATAGCACGGAGCAGGTAGCAGAAGGCAGGTCAAGCACTCCGTGGCTTGGAGCATCACGTTTGCAGCCCTGCAGGAGGCACCCGAAATAGCTCTCTCCGTGCGTAGGGCACCAAGATCTAATTCTAGTCAACGCGGTCGCACACACCGAGCTGTCAGGATCCAAGACAGATGTTTCGAGCGCTGCCGGTGACTCAGACGCTCCGTTAGCTGCTCAGGGAGCTAAACATAACTTCAAACACCAGGTCCTGCTAGGCCGGCGGGGCTGGGTGCGGAGTTCCCTGCGGATAAAATCCTCCCCGGCACCGGGAGGGTGGTGGAGAGCGAAGCACCTTGCAGAACTCGGGCTGCAGTTGCCATTGCGAGTGATGGGAACTGCTTGGCCAGGCAGCAAGAGGTCTGGAGGGGTTGGTAGGAAGTCTGAGGACAAAAACGCTGGAAATGGGTCTCTTTGGGGGCCGTCATGGCCGTCCTCGATCGTCTCCCTGTGCCTCCAGCTGTGAGCAGGGACCTAAAGGAGAACAGACCAATTCTCTGCCTTAGATCCAGTTTGAACCCGGGACTCCCGGGATTCCTGACATCCTCCGCTGCTTGGAGGATGGATCAGGAGGTCTTTTTGTTTGTGCAATAGCCTGCACGTAGGGTGAGACCCACTTTGCATTGGCAGCTCTCTCCA